AAACATGCACTTGCCGTGGGTGGGATGTAACCCGTGTCCCTTGCAAACATGCATGCGCATCCATTATGTTCATGAAAAGGGATGTCTACCAGTTCTGTGACTGGTTTATGACGGTTGAAGCCTTTAAAAAAAGCTACGAGCCAATCTCTACCCTATCCCTGACTTTGAGAAGCGCATCGTACCAAGGGATGAGATACAGATCCTACCTCCACTTACAACAAAAAGGAAAGGGAGAAATAAAGCCAGGCGTATCAACAACAGAACTGTTTACACGTGGCCAGTAAAATGTTCTCGATGTCATATGGAAGGTCATAACCGTAAAACATGTAATGAATCTATAGTTGACTAAGTGTTTGATATGTTGAAGTGGTTTCGTCCCAGTATGCAACAAATATTTTTTTTTCCCGATTGAATGTTTATTCTTGTTAATCGGGAACTAACATCATCAGCTTCCACTAGATAAAACGTTGTAAGTAACAAAACAACTATCATATTAGACCTAACGTGCACAAAGAATAGAACTAACATCTTAGTTATTCAATGCACTCGAATAACTAGGAGTAACAAGCCAAAGAATAGAACTAACTTGGTATCAGATAGTACTAACATGTAATAAAGCAGAACTGACTTGGATCGGAACAGGTTACAGAATAGAACTAACACTGTGAAGATTAGAACTAACACTCTAGAGAATAGAACTAACACTCTAGAGAATAGAACTAACACTGTGCAGATTAGAACTAACACTCTACAGAATAGAACTAACACTCTACAGACTAGAACTAACACTGTGCAGATTAGAACTAACACTCTACAGAATAGAACTAACACTGTGGAGATTAGAACTAGAATAAACACTCATCATGAATAGAACTAGACACTGTGGCAAGATTTGAACAACGATCTAGAGAAGACAAAAACTAACTTGTATACAATTAAAACTACTTGGTATAGAAATGAGGACACAAACTTTGTAAATTAGAACTATCTTGATATAAATTAGATTAACGTTGTAGTAAAATAGAACTCAACGTTGGTATAAATAGAGCTACAACGTGGTATAAATTAAGGTTTTAGAACGTGTATAAATTATGTTTATAACATGGTATAATATAAGAACCTAACTTGTAGAGAATGAGAAGCAAACTTTGTTTAAATTGAACTATCTTTTGTATACAATTAGATCTAACCGTTGTATAACAATTACGAACTAAGCTTGTATAAAGAATTGAGGATAAAATGTAGAGTATAGACGTTGGTAATAAATGAGATAAAGCGTGGTATAAGTTAGGTTTAAGGTAATTGGGCGTAAAGTGAACTGTAACGATAATTAGATATAGAACGTGGTATAGAATTAGATATAACGTGTATAAAATAAAAGCTAACAAGCCATGCACAAACTACAGATTGAAACTAACACTGACTACAGAATAGACTAAACTGATATTTGAAGAACTAACAGCTGCTACGGAAGCAGAACTAACACTGGTGCAGATTAGAACTAAACTTCTAGCAGACGGAATACCGTTGGTATAGTGGAATAGGTTTATAACGTGGTATAAAATATACTAACTTGGTAATATAAATAGAATAACTTGGTTAAATTACGTCTAAACGGGTATAAATTAAGGTTTATAACATGTATAAAGTTAGTAACGTAACATAAATTCGAGATAGAACGGTGGTATATAATTAGATAGTAACGTGTAATAAAATAGACTAAGCAAGCCATCAACACGCAACAGAATAGAACTAACATCTCTACAGAATAGAATAACACTCGTACAGATTAGACTAACACCTATGGAAGATTAGAACTAACACTCTACTAGACACAATAACCTCTGTGCAGCTTAGAAACTAACACTCTACAGATGATAGGATAATAACACGTGTGTGCAGATTAGAAACTAACACTACTACAGAATAGAAGCTAACACTGTGCAGATAGAACTAACGACTCTAGCGGAAGCAGAGTCTATACGAGTGTATAAATCATGATACGTAAAAGGGTGCAGATTAGAACTACACAGGCATTTTGTAACAAACTGTTTGGGTGATAAGCAAAATTTACAAGAAAAACCGCAATGATGCGCAGGTCTTCATTTGTTGCGGAGCCCTCGCTGGACGTCGGTGTTGGGGTCTAATAAGCCCTTTTTCCTGTCACTGACGCGGGCTTCCTGTTCGAGAGGTCCTGGGCTTACTGCGCTGTTGAGGAAGGAGAACTGGATTCCGCTGGAGCTAGATCTGCTGGGAAGACGACGGGGTTTAAAGGGAGAGGGACGACATTGCCGGTAGGCGAGATCCCTTGGAGAATTGGCACCCCAGACCTTGGTAGCGGAGAACCAGCTGTATCATTGGTCTGCGTCGTCGGAGCGTCATATGGAACGCACCCGGCCATACTAACCCCTCCCCCAAATTAACTGGGTTTTCGGCCTAAAGGGCTACGGCACGCTGGGCCGCTAAGTTGAGTCGTGTGGGATCCCTGAGCCCTTTCCAAATCCCGCCCCGCTTTGAACTGCGTGCATGGCGTATCCTTCCCTGCGTTACCGGTCCGTCCACGAGCGCAGGGAGATGTAACTGGACCCAAGCTGCGTTAGGGATGTTTCAAGATAAGATCTAGCCCGTTGGATAGGAACGTCTACGTCTTTGTGAAGTTAGAATGTGTTAGTGAGACGGTCCCTGCGAGAGCGACGAGTGAAACATTCGCTGCGGATAGCCGATGAGCAGAGATTGAAGAAATTCAAGAATCCGATGAGGTGGCTACTGGAGACTTGAATAGGCGGATATCCGGCTTGCATAGCTAGAAAGGTTGAGTGCAACGGTTGGTGCAGCCTCGCAGATGCTCTTGTGAACGCAGAATCTACGCCTTAATGTGCCGATATCTATCAAGCGACGAGTTCAATCAGCTTGGGCAAGGAAACTCATCGGATGGTAAACGTGCAGCGGCATGAAGCTGTTCCGAATGCCGGCCTCCTTGATTTGATGGGGGCGATGTCCTACAGATTGGAAGCGGTAGGGACCAAGCATCTCTGCGAGCTGCCTGCGGATGGACGTCCTCGCTATCAGACTTGGAAGACTGGCGAAAGCAGAAAGTGCCCGGTAGCTGGCCTGGAGGTGTTGGCCGGAGACGGTAAGCATCGATCGGACGGGCACTTGTCGGTAATTCCATGAATGGACTCCGTCGAGGAGCCTGTGTCCTGGTCCGACATGGGCAGTGAGCACAAGAAGGATCCCTCCGCCCCCACCATGTTGTGGAGGGGTATGAGATAACGATGAAAATGATTACTACAGATTAGAACTAACACTGTGCAGAATAGAACTAACACTCTACAGATTAGAACTAACACTGTGCAGATTAGAACTAACACTCTACAGAACATATCTAACATTGTGGAGATTAGAACTAACACTCTACAGAATAGAACTAACACTGTGCAGATTAGAACTAACACTCTACAGAATAGATCTAACATGTTATAATATATAACTAACTCTACAGAATAGATCTAACATGTTAAAATATATAACTAAAAGGGTGCAGATTGGAAGTAACACAACATTTGTAACAAACTGTTTGGTGGATAAGCAAAATTTAACAAGAAAAAACACGCAATGATTCCAGGTCTTCATTTGTTGCTGCCCTCGCTGGATGGGTTTGGGTCTAATAAACCCTTTTCGCTGTCACTCGCCTTCCTTTTCGAAGGTCCTGGCTTACTGCTCTTTGAGGAAGGAGAACTGGATTCCGCTGAGCTACTGTGGGAGACGACGGGGTTTAAAGGGAGAGGAACATTGCCGGTAGGGAGAGCCCTTGGAGAATTGGCACCCCCGACCCCTTGGTTACGGAGAAACAGCTGCCATTGGTCTCTCTCGACCGTCATGTGGACGCCACCCCAACTAACCTCAATTAACTCGGGGTCGGCCCTAAAGGGCTGCGCACGCTGGGGCCCTAAGTTGAGTCGTGTGGATCCCTGAGCCCTCTCCAAATCCCCCCCGCTTTAGACCTGCGTGATGGCGTATCCTTCCCTGGCGTTACCGTCCACCGGTGAGATGTAACGGAACCCAAGCCTCTTAGGGATTTCATATAAATCCTTAACCTTGAGTAGAACTCTACAGTCTTTGAAGTTAGAATGTGTTATGACGTCCCTGGAGCACATGACACATTCACCGATACCAATGAGCAGAGATTGAAGAAATTCAAAATTCCAGAGGTGGTATGGGAGATTGAATAGGCGAATCCATACTAGAAAGGGTTGAGGCAACGTTGTTAGCCTCAGATCCTCTTTCCAACGGCGAAATCTGCCCTTAAATGTGCCCATATCTATCAAACCGAGTTCAATAGCTTGGGCAAGAACTTCATCGGATGGAAACTGTACCATGAAGCTGTTCCCTGCCGCCTCCTTGATTTGATGGGGCCATGTCCTAAGATTGAAGCGGTAGGCCAACATCTCTCGGAGCTCCTGCACCGATGGACGGCCTCTATCAAGATTGAAGATGGCAAAAGCAGAAAGATGCCGTATGGTGTTGGAGGTGTTGGCCGGGACGGTAAGCATCCTCGGAGGGGCACTTGCGGTAATTCCATGATGACAATCTCGAGTGCTGTGTCCTGTCCCATGGCAGTGTACACAAGAAGGATCCCCAGCCATTTGTGAGGGTATACGATGAAAATAGATGACGCTGGGTTGAGGTTTTTAGCAGGGGGAGGGGTTTGCAGAGGCGCCTACGCTGGGGCCAGTAGAAGAAAGGTGGTGACCGTACCTATCGATGGAAGTTCGTATTAGGTATTTAAGTTAATTAATTTATTTAACTGACTTGGGAACACGCGAATATATGATGTGACATGTTTGTGTGATGGAACCGTCGCTTCGAAAGAAGTGAGCAGCTGGAGGTCTGAAGATAACTTAAATAATTAAAAAATTAGAACTGGCTCTGAGATAGAACTAACGAGCATGGTACAGAATAGAACTAACGTTGAATGAGTTAGAACTAACGAGCATCACTAGAACGAACATGGTACAGATAGAACAATACATCTGATAACAATCATTTTCAATTACTTAAATATACATACATTATTGTATTTGTATGAACATATCATTCATCACTGTACACTGTTTCTTCTTTATGTCTTTGTTCAAAACCAGCCAGTAATAATTGTGCGGCAAGTCTTGCTCGCATAGCTTCAGGGATATCGTTCGGAGGATTAACCAGCAATGTTGATCGTCCTTCAATTATGGATTTTACAAAGAGGTAGACGAACACACCACAGTCAAAGCTGCAACATAGAGTGAGTTCATTAGACATTTTCGGTCCGTTCGAATACTATAACACAAATTTGAACAATATAGACATCGGAACTAACCGTCCTCTTTGTTGCTCGCATTTGATGGCTTGATATCTAAATATTTGGCGCACATTGTCTTCAATAAAATCAGCATGATGGGCATCAAAGAATTTTATGATTTTATTAACAGGCTCCATCCAAGCTTCGTGCCCAGCGGAGCTGTAATGCTTGACGACTTTATCTTTAAGGTCAACTTCTACAAGATGCCAATGGTCGTCCCTGACCAAAGGGATCAAGAGATGCTCTATGCGGTATGCGGTATATTTGTTACAGAATAGAACTAACACTCTACAGAACGGAACTAACATGACTTATGGTAGGTCTAATTTGATGCTAACTAGAACTAACGTGACTCATGGTATAACTAGCATGGATTACACAAGATCTAACATGAATTTCAATCAAAACTAACGTGGTGAAATTAGGAATAGCATGTTCTTACAAGAAAGAACACTGATACCACTCCATATCCTTTGCCGTATGCCTCCTGGCTAATCGTGTCCAAAATTGCTTCTTCCACCTGTAATTGTTATGAAACATTAAAATTCAAATTTGAATTATTAAGGAAGTATATGTTAACCTTGTCGTCAAGGCGGCCACCACGAAGCACATATAACAACTCTTCCCTGTTAATAGTGCTGTTGGTTGTTACTATAACATTATATCTCCTAGTATAAATTAGAACTAATATGTGGAGAATTAGCATATAAATAGTCAACTGAAACTTACTTGTGAATCTTCTGAGAACAAAATTTGGTTAGGCTCTCAATTTCAGCTTTGTCGAGTCTTTCTGCTACGGGAGATGGTATCTTTAAATTATGTACAAAAGCACCTGTGCTATCTATTATGCGTAAGTTAAACAATGTAGGGTCTGGAAGCTCATTATTCAGCTCTCCCAATAGAGCTTCCTCTTCATCTGTCATTGGCTTGAAACTCAACGCATCAAAAGTGGGGATTTGAATACTGGGGTAAAAATGAGTAACTTTTTCAGCTAGTTTTACTTTTGGTTCAGGACTTTGAAGTATATCTATACGAATTTTTTCCTTTTTCTTTCTTTTGCCTTCAGTATATGGTGTCCTCTTCCATTTAGATCTCATGCTTACCCTTTTTGCCTTTGGTCTACGCTTTGCTTCCACATTGCTCGTTAGAACATCTACAAGTTTGTCCACATCATGTTCAATATTCACAAGATCCTCTTCCTCCTGTGCTTCCAACTTATCTACATTCTCCTTGCCTTTATCTACAATATCTTCCTCCTTATCTACACCATCAACAGTATCCTCATCAAAACCTTTGTTATCTACAATAAAATTTTCATTTTCCATATGCTCCTCTTCCTTATCTACCATATGCTCCTCTTCCTTATCTACCATACGCTCCTCTTCATTATCTACAATATCTTCCATATGCTCCTCTTCCTTATCTACCATATGCTCCTCTTCCATATCTACAATATGTTCCATATGCTCCTCTTCCTTATTTACACTATCCTCAACCTTAGTATCTACAGTCTGGTCAACCTTACTATATACCCCCTCCCCTGGAGAAGTAACTGGCTCCTCTTCTATTGCCTCATCGTCAGCAAGATGCTTTACATCCTCTTCAACAATCTTATGTACATGTTCTTGACTGGTGGGCTCTTCCTTATATACACTGCTTGTTTTGGACTTCTGTTCCTCTTGAGCTCCCCGTCGCTTCTTCCTAATTTCATTTGCAATTTTCTGTTTGATATTTGACTTAAGCAGCACCGGGTCTATAACCTCATCATGTCTTCCACATTTTTCAATTATCCTGTTAAGCCTGTTGATCTCAATCATGAATTCTTTACAATATTTGCTCTTGGTCTGCTTTGTAGCAACAAGAAGTCGCTTGAGAAATTTAGCAGAATTTCTCCAAAATGTGAGTTGCTGCTCAATGGGAAGAACATTGATCTCCTCTTCATCGTCAAAAGCAACGTCAATATGCTTTGCCATGATCTGTTATTGATACAAGATTATAATTTTAAGTAGGATTAAACATAATTAGGATATTCTTTGCAGTTAGTGTGAAATGAGTACGACTTAACATAACAGGATACTTACGTAACCTATTGAGAAGTTCTTAGTAGTTTCTTCCTGCAAAGTCTTCCTCTTTGCCTGACGCTTTTGCTGAAGAACTTCATCCCTCTGTTCAGCGGGAAGTGAATGAACATGACCAGGAGAAGCGACCTCCGCAATAGGCCTATGGACAAATGTTATTGACGCTGACTTAGCCTTTGAAATAATTGTCGGCATCCTCATAGATGCGATTCTCTCCTCCCCTGATGCCCAATTTGTCATTGGAGGTCTGGAGGTGTCTAAGAGGGCATATTTCTTTATGCCTGTCATCTCGTAGTACCAAAGCTGTACCAAATAATATATTTACCATTAACATTTAATACTAGACTAGACTAAAGAGAATAAAATATGGCTGCATCTAGAACTAACATGGTGTAAATTAGTACGTGGTACGACATGAATTATGATAGAACTAACATGACCTATGATAGAACTTAAATGGGTGCAGATAGAACTAACACTCTACAGAATAGAACTAACACTGTGCAGATTAGAACTAACACTCTACAGAATAGAACTAACACTGTGCAGATTAGAACTAACACTCTACAGAATAGAACTAACACTGTGCAGATTAGAACTAACACTCTACAGAATAGAACTAACACTGTGCAGATTAGAACTAACACTCTACAGAATAGAACTAACACTGTGCAGATTAGAACTAACACTCTTTAGTTCTATTCTGTAGAGTGTTAGTTCTAATCTGTCTGTAGCGTGAGTTCTAATCTGCAGATTAGAACTAACACTCTACAGAACGGAACTAACACTGTACAGATTAGAACTAACACGCTACCGAATAGAACTAACACAGAATAAGTTAGAACTAACAATGCATAGGTACGAACAAGAATGAAACAAGATCAGTAAAATATGAAACTTACATACAATAGTGTCATGCAACCTGGGACATATGTGACCTTTTGCTTCTTCTTTCCCTCCAAAGCAACTCCAATGCCCCTGATAATTTCATTATAAAAGAACGGGGCCCATGCAACAGAATTGACCATCTGAATGCTATCCAGGTACCTGAGTAAGGGTCTAGGGATACCTTCCCCTGCTATGGGACTCCATATCATAGAGCATTGGTACAAAATTTGTAGCAGAGCAAAATCCTCGATATCCCGCTTTTTGGTAGATTCAACAAGCCGTTCAAGTAGCCCTTCAAGATGTTTACGTTGGCTGGTTTCTGATTTTTTTAACTTCTTACCCTCTTCAGAAATGAAAAGCTTAGCGAAGTATCCCAGCCATATTCTGCTTCTTGAGTCCCTATTGTTCCTTATGTCCTCCCCATAAATTGGGAAATAAGTATGGTTGTGGACCCATTGCAAATCAAAACTAACATTTTTCATACCCCCACTTTTTGAATCAGGTATACAAAAGGTGTTATTATCTCTATCGAAAAAGCTCAGCAGCAGCTCAAGGGTGGGCCGATCAGCCGCAGGAGCCCCAAACAAAATGTAGTGCTGAAATATAGAACCGCAGTATGCATCCCTATGCCACTGACGGATCTTCGGGGCAAGGCGCTTCATAAATGCCCAATAAGCCCCGATATTGGCCGTTAACCTTAGTGTTTCTGCTGAGCCTGTTAGAGCAATTTTTTCCCTGCAAAAAATTTTCGAATTTGTAAGTTCAATAAGACATATGAAACAATATTAGACCTAGCACTAACGGGAACAAAATAGAGCTAACACGTAATATTATAGAACTAACATTGGACTCATATTAGAACTAACATTGGACTTAAACTAGATCTAACGTTGGTATAAATTTAGAACTAACATTGGACAAAGCCTAGAACTAACAATATTGGGTTAATCTGCATTGTCTCTTCGCAGTATAACATAAGCCTAGAACTAACAATATTGGGTTAATCTGCATTGTCTCTTCGCAGTATAACATAAGCCTAGAACTAACAATATTGGGTTAATCTGCATTGTCTCTTCGCAGTATAACATAAGCCTAGAACTAACAATATTGGGTTAATCTGCATTGTCTCTTCGCAGTATAACATAAGCCTAGAACTAACAATATTGGGTTAATCTGCATTGTCTGTTCGCAGTATAACATAACACTTACTGTTTTTTTGAGGGGGGTTTGTTGGTACGACCAGCCATTGCCGTCCTCCTTTTCTGGGCTCGCCATTGTATTGCCTCCTTTTGCATTTCGATTAGGGTTTGCGTAGCTTCCTCCGTGCTGCCACCCGCAGATGAAGCGCCTTTTCCTTCCAACTCAGCTCGGTGCCCGACCTCGTAGTCGTTACTGGATTCTTCCGTAGACGACATTTTTCCGGCGAAAACCCTAGAAACGTTGAAATCCGTACAAAAATTAGGAAGATGAAGAGTTTTTGATGGCGGTGCTAGGTGAAAGAGGGAGAGTACTTGTAAAGGTGAGGGGCACATTAACCCAGCTCAGTCCCATCAGAGGGCAAGATCGTAACTTCCTCTGGCTTTTTCTGAAAAAAAGTCAATTCGGGGCCTCGTCGCAAATACTATGCGTATTTGGGGATATTCCACATGGGGCAAAGTACAGGGGGGCTAGTCACACGAAGTTCCCACTTTTGGGGCCTGGACACATTTTTCCCTTTTTTTTTAATGTAGACTGAAAAAACTTAAATAAAGATAGGTTATTGATTGATAATTACCACCCGACAATGACTTCTTTGGGGTTCACCTTCTGGTGATATCCAGCGCATCCTGTAGGCATGCAACCTTATTTTATTGAAATGGTTCGTATAAAGTAATTTCATAAATTAAAATTTTAAAAAAATTAATAATCATGCGATTTTAAAAGTAAGTATGCCCTGACCTGACACCGCAAGAAAGTGATAATACAGGAAGCTTATCCACAAGAATAGAACTGCATAGAATCTATTTCCAATTAGACAATAGTATATAAGGCCTATCCGCAATTACCCCAAAATAAATAAAGAAATAGGATATCCTAGATATATTCTTTTCCAATCTTTCTTATTTATTCGTACCATAGGCTTAACAAAAACACATTTTTTTGAAATCTTTACATTTTTTCCCCCATATAACCCAAAATGACTTAATTGAAGATACAAGTTTAAGACATAAACAAGTTGTATTCGATAAATAGCAGCCAGCTCCCTCAACATTTCAGAGAGCAAAGGTCTCAGAAAGACATGGATGAGGCAATTGTTGAGCGCTGCGGAAACCAAACAACCAAACCAACGTGCTATGAGAAATCAAATCAAACGAACGCCTAGAGAAGGCCAAACGAACCAAATCAATACCACAAATACAACCAACCAATTTTAACGTAGTTCGTCAAGTTGCCTACGTCCACGGGGTAAGAAGGGGATATGGTTTTTCACCAATAGAGAAGAAGAGTACAAACTGAGATTACAAATCACTCAAACTCATCAATTAATCTCACCAACAAATCTCTAATTCTCTCCAAACAAAACCCCAACCAATAGCTCAAAAAATACATCTTTTCTATGCTCCAAATATCCTCAATTTTCTTCTCAATTCTCTCTTTCAATTGTTTCATATATATAAAAATCCTAAAATCATAAACATACTAGGAATCCTAAAACAAAAAACAAAATAGATTAGGAATCCTAATAACATGTTACCAAAACAGATTTCTGCATCAGTCTTGGGTGATTATTCACCAGACAACTTGAACTGGCTTCCAAGGGGCGTGCTAACGACCTTAGCATTCTGCATGTTGAATCTCTGAAGTACTTTCTCGATGTATTCAGACTGACTCAACTTCAACGTCCCCTCAGCTGCATCCTGGCTGATTCGCATCCCAAGAATCTGCTTCGCTGCACCCAGATCCTTCATGGCAAATTCCTTTGCTAACTGCTTCTTCAGCTTGTTTATCTTCTGTAAACACGGTCCTGCAACTAACATGTCATCAACATATAGCAATAACACGATATAGCTGGACTCGAACCTCTTGAAGTAACAACAATGATCTGAATTGCATCTGCCAGAACCTCTTGAAGTAACAACAATGATCTGAATTGCATCTGCCATAGCCATTGCTCTGCATGAAGTTATCGAACTTCTTATACCACTGTCGTGGGGCCTGTTTCAATCCGTATAAGCTCTTCTTGAGCCTACACACCATCTCTTCCTTTCCTTCCTCAATGAAACCAACATATTGCTTCATGTAGATTTCTTCATCCAAGTCGCTATGAAAAAAGGCAGTCTTCACATCTAACTGCTCAAGGTAGAGATTTTCAGCAGCTACCAAGCTCAACACCACTCTGATGGTTGTGAGTTTCACAACGGGGGAAAATATCTTCGTATAATCCACTCCTTCCCGCTGTTGGAACCCCTTCACGACTAATCTGGCATTGTATCTCTTCATTCCATCACTCTCCTACTTGACCCGGTAAACCCACTTGTTATGTAAGGCCTTCTTCTGTGCAGGTAGCTGGGCTAACTCCCATGTCTCGTTCGAGTGGAGAGAATCCATCTCTTCTTGCATTGCATGCTCCCACTGCTGAGATTCGCTCACTTGTATAGCCTCCTCATAGCATTCTGGTTCTCTACTATCTGTCAAAAGTAGGTAGTCTTGATACGAGTTGCCGTGCGAGCACCTTTGATCGCGGAATTATCAAAGGTGGTTTGAGGAGAAAATAATAATAATACAAGAATAACTCAGATTTTGGGCGAAGGAAAATACCTTCTCTAGATTATGAGTATGCAATTTACAATCTCTCACAATCTCACTCTAGAATTGAAGAACAAGCTCTCCAAATCTCAATTACAAGTTAATCTCTCTTGATTTAACTCCCTGATTGTTTAGAAACCCTAAAACAATCCCTTATATAGGTGTACAAACGTGGATGGCAGTTTGGTAAATAACCAGACCCAAAACCAACAGGAATTCGTGTGAACAGAATCCCAAACGAACCAGGAAACCCTCGATGAGTCGACTCATGACTGTGATGAGTCGACTCGACAGAAACTGGACAAATCTTAACAACCAGCGATGAGTTGACTCATGACAGTCATGAGTCGACTCAACCTGATGAGTCGACTCAAGACTGTAATGAGTCGACTCACAGGCTGAAAACTGGGTACTTCGATTCTTCTGCTCGTCGTCTCGTTCCAACTGTAATGAGTCGACTCACAGGCTGAAAACTGGGTACTTCGATTCTTCTGCTCGTCGTCTCGTTCCATACTTTCTCCTGTATTCCCTTATACTGTTTGACACCTCTATTCTCATGCTATCATAAGAATCATCTATCCTCAAGCTCCCATGAGGATCGCTAAGTTCCGAAGAGAATATACACCCGTATCATGTGTCCCCTCTTTAAGAACTTGAAGTCCCGTTCAAGTTAGAACTTCAGCTGAGGAAACTCGCGAGCCCCTCCTTCTTTATTGAACCACTTAGCCTTGCTAGGAACTTGACCTTGACGTCCGATAAGAAACGACTCCTTCATTCCCCTTCTTGTCGTGGTCGTCTTTCGCTCCAAAATGCAGT